GGCTTGGTTGATGCTACAGCCTGGACACTGCTTAAGGTAAATTACACAATGTCTGGGCACAGATTGCCATAGTATTTACTCTTACTTCACTTAAACTGGACCTCTCAGTATTTACTGACTGACATTTTACAGCTTACAAAGCAATCTGCCTTTCTTGTCTGGTACTCTTCTACTACCGAATGCAATGCCAAACAGCTGACTATCTGGTTTCTAAAAATGGACTGTGCTGCAAACAGCATCCTGACAATTTAATAATTTGTCAAAGTAGTCCAACCAGTTATTATGAAGTACATATAGTAGGGTTCAGAGGTAAAGGTCGTCTACTTACTCACAAAGCAAAGTTAAAGTGCATCTGCTGACACTAAAAATCAGACAATTAAAAAAAAATCCAAGACATTCCCTAGCAGACTTGACTTTAACGTATGAATTCCACTGCAATTCTCACAACAGCAACTTCAGCTTCCTAAAAAGAATGTGTTTTCATTTCTCCTTTCCCCATTTGTTCATAATCTCTATCCTATCACTGCATTAGAGGTTGCTGCAACTTAAGTGAAACAGAATGTAAAATAAACTTGTTTATAGCATGTCAGACAGTGGAGATAGTATTTCAGGGCAAGATGCATTATCGCTGAAAAATTATCTTAGATTTTTTAAATAAATGCTTTCCCTAAGCAACAATATCTTTTTTTGTGTGGCTTTTCTGGCACATATGAACAGCAGCTGCATGTAGTTTGGGCACTTAAATGAGATGATCATACCCTCCATATTTTATTTTTAGCTAAAACATGAATGAAAGGAAATATGTGGGACCTTCTGTGTTGGAAAATTGGCCCTTCAGTTGCCTTAGCAACAGAAAAAACTGGCCCTAAATTTCCAAAATGATTACTGTTCTCAGTGTTCAACTTTGAATGATTTCTGGAAAAAAAACGCAGCTTCATTAGTCTATATATCAAACTTCTTTAAGTCTGGGCATCCAGTACTCAAAGTCACTTTAGAAAATTAAGGGCCTGATCCTGTAAGGTACTGAGTGTCCTTCATCGCTGACTTCTGTAGGAATTAAACATGGCCTAGAACGTGCAGTCTCCTCACCCCCATTTAAAAGCAGGTCCCCAAAACTTTTTAACAAATGTTTTCATGTTATGTGGGAACAGTCTTGTCACTAATGGTGTGGGTCAGTTATTCGACTTAGAGCATATTTTCCTAGCAATATCCGGATATTGGTCCAAACCCCCACAAATGTAAAACCTCACCAACAGCTTTACAAAGAGAGACATACCTCAAACTGCTCTGCTCATATAAGCTGTCTTTACACACAATGAAGCAGCCAATACCTTGATTTTGGAACCTACATATCCTTCAATCTTCTCTCTCAGTTACTTTGGCCTCTTTAACCCTATGTGTACTGTGGATACCTCTACTGCTCTATAGCATTCATTCAACTGACAGGTTGAGAAACACCAGTATGTTAAGGGTTAAGTGAAGAACACCTTTATTTCAGCTTTACTACCCTCATTTAGCTAGCTTTCACCCTGTTATTTTTTAAGATTAGACCCTTTTTTAAAAGGCAGAAGGTTACGGCCTTCAATAGCACAGTATTTGTCTTTTCCCCTTGCCTTGAAGCTCTGCTATCCAGTCTGGCCAGGGATGCCCTGTTATTTACAATATATTATTATTTCAGGGTTACCATCATCCATTCACAATGGTGCTGTACTTAATTACAGAGTTAAGCGAAGAAATGTTCCTCTGTTTAGTACTTTACCTAGCACCTCCAGTTGAGATCACGTCAACGCCTCTATAATCCACCTATAATTTTCAGAGGTGGATACCATACACCTGTAAAAAGCTACTGTTTTCTGAAAAGCGAGGCAACTACCTTATCCAAAAATTTAAGTGTTGCATTTTTATTCAAATAAATAAGCTTAACAGATATGGTTTTCATTTACATCCTGTATAATCAAAAGTTAGCTTTAATTTGACCACGATATCTTTTTTCCTGTTTTAGGATGGTGCTTTGAAATGACAGCAGCATACACCAAATTAAGCAGATTTTAGAGAATTGTGCAACAAAATTTTAAAATGCCTACTTCCATCATGGCTGTTTGCAAAACATTGTATTTTTTTAAATCTCAGTACCATACAAAAACCTGAAAAGTTCTGAAGAAGGTTCCTGGAATCAAGAATCTATAAATATGCCCCCATTTTAAAAAATAGTTACAATTTAAGGCTATACTTACATAATGGCCCCTTGGATGCTACACTGTAAAATGCCCTTATATCCCTTTATGAAGGACTGATTTTTCTCAAAACAAATATAATTAAGAAAATGGAAATTAACAAACAGAAACTTTAGTTCTGGAAGGCATTCATATTAAGCAAAGTACTAAAGCGGGTGCTTAACTTTAAAGTTAACAAGAATGGATGAAGGCATATCTTAAGTGCTTTCTTGAACTGAGGCCATAAAGTATTAGAATTGTAGATTTATTATATAAACCAATATAAGCAAGAAATTCAAGAAAGAAACAAAAAGGATCCCTCACACTTTCTGAAGTGACAATGCATATAATGTAGCTGGAGGCTGTTGTTAGAAATGGCAACACTCCATTCCAGGTCCTTCTGCAAACACTGGATTCTCTTTTCTTAGGTCCCAGAGTTAAAAATGTGGGGATGGATGGTGAGAACTCACACTTTTCTAGACACTTCTTCTATATGCAACTCAGACATAACATTGTATTGGGAGAGATTCTCAAGGGTTTTCTTCATACTGGGAAGCATAGATTTTGACTTTTAGTTTTAAATAAAACTTTAAAACCAAAACCAAATTGATTTACCAAAGTAGTCTCCATATTATGTACGACCCTTGAATCCAACCAACTAAAAATGCAGATCTATATGATCTTTCCATACAGCAATCAAAAGATTGGATAGGATTTCAAAAGATTCAGCGTATAACATGGCTATTTTTTTTGCTACAACCTTAAAAATAAGTTTCTTTTTAGAGGCTTTTTGTTTATTTGTTTTTCAGATACAGAAGCAAGTAAAATTAAATAACAAGGGTCAGGTCTTTAATACAATAATATTACCTATCATATGCCAAGATGTCTATTAAAGTTCCCCTGAAGAGGAAAGTTTCTCAGCAAAGTATGAAGGTATAAGGAATCAGTATACAATTTCCAAGAAGCAGGAATATAAAACTACCTGTCAGGTAATCAAAGATAACCAAAGAGATGTGTTCAATCCTTAATTTTTTTTCTGTTCAGCATCAAGTGAATCCAAGTTATTTGACCACTTGACAGCACTTCCAAGTTCTATCAATTCCCAGTTTCTCTCCCCTTGTCACCATGTCCAGCATGAAAAAGCCTGACAATTTTGTTGTTGGGAGATATCCACCGATAGTTCGTTCTTTGGTGGTTAATGCAGACTGGTCAGACAACCAAAGCATTCAGAGAGTAGTTTTTGTTTGTTTTAATACATAAATAATGACTATTGGTAATAAGTTGTACTGCTGATGAAAAACAGTGCCATTACTAGTATGTGCTTTCTGAATGCAAGGCAAATTTGGCTCAATGCATCTGGAACTATGGCTATTCATTTCTATTTCAAAAGGGTCACAGTAACTTGTTAAAAAGTTAAACAATTATAATAAAATAGCATTTTCCTGTTTTATTTTTTTTGTTTGACCTCAAAATTACATGAGCAGAGAGTAGTTAGCCATATTAATCTGAAGTCATATGGAAGGCAGAGTAGATATGCACCTTACAGACTAACTAAATCAGAGATGCCTAAACTTTTGTAAGCAGTGGCTCATCATCAGATGCTATGCATCGTCTAGGATTTAGTTTCTAAGGTGAAAATCTACCCTGCCTTCTGTCCAAAATAGGCATCAGAAGGTAGAGGCACTATTACCTAAGACTTCATTATCTGCAAGTTGAGAATCAAAATTAATTCTACTCAAAAACAAATAATGTGAATGTAATAAGACCAAAATGCCTGAAATGAAGGTTAAATACTACAGGTACAGAATTAGATGTCAATCCCCATCCTGATTTGTGATTTTACAAATAAGGTGTCAAGTTCTGAGGACACTCTTCCCATAAGAAACAAAGGCAAAACAAGGCTTAAAGGACAATGGGTCAATTGCCACTTTGCTTATTTAATTCATAGAACAGAACACTATGGATAAAATTCTGTTCTTGTCCTCATTTTAAGGGTTCGAGCAGATAGAAGTCCCAGAGAGAGTGAATATATATATGTGTGTGTGTGTGTGTGTGTGTGTGTGTGTTACATACATCTATTAATTTGAATTGTAAACTTTGTTCAAAGAGGAAGGGAAGAAAGACCTACCTTTTAGAATACGGCAACTTACCTTTTTACCACCTGTTACAAACTGTTTGCAGGGGGATTTCACAAACTGAGGGTGAACAGCAACAATCTGGATTTAATGTGGGAGAAAAATAATTCCTGTTGAAGTTATTAAGCATTACAGGGACTTCAACTGCAACAACACCTGTTTTAACTTTCAAATTAGCTAAATATTGCCATATATAGATTATTACAACTACATTCCTTCTACTAGGTGACAAGACATACAAATGTTCTTTTCCCATTAAGAGTTACAGGGAAGCTTCTAAACAGTGAATGGGCTATACTGGGCTACACCTGTCAGCAAAATTGTGATGACTGTTCTTTCCACAAAACAAAACCTTAAATCAAACCAGCTGGTTTCCTTTTTTCCTACAAGAACTCTTTCTGGCCCAGTACAGACTTTACACTTTTACTGGTATAAGTGATAGGAAACCGGTCTATACCCATGACAGAACAGAAGTTCTGTTACAGAAACCAATCTAGACCCATAACACAATGGAAGTTCAGTACACAGACTGGTTTAAAAATGTCAGAACCCAGTCTAAGATTTGCCCCCCTCCACCAAAGGACGAATGTGTACTCTGTTCACTACCCATCAAACTTATGGCACTTATAGGAAACCATATAACTTAGCTCAATTTCACCTCAGGCTTTCTGAATGTCTGTACCTAGCCTCAGAGAGGATACCTAGGTCTTCACAGAATCCTACTATTGCTAGCAGCGGCATAATGCGACGAGGAACTCAGGGCACAGGGACACTGGCATTTCTAGTTGCTGCCATGCTCCTGGCATGATCATGACTGAGCAGCTGCTGGTGGCAGCTGTTTTCTTCTGCACCCCTTTTCTCCCCGCAGTGAGTTGGCACCTAAGGTAGTTTCTCCTAATTGCCCCAGGCTAGTGCTGTCACTGACTGCTAGCTTCTGATCGCTAGCCACTAACATAGATGAAGTTAAGAGAATAGTAATTGAAGTTTTTCCCTCAACAAAGTATGCCTCACCGTTGTGACATCACGACCCACTGCCTTCTCCCAGGGTAAGTTTAAGATTATAATCAATTCAAATACTGACCTAGCAGAACCCTCACAATTTATAATCACAGACTTACAAGAAGAGAGGAATAAGTTAAGACAGAAAACAGCAGATGGCTGACAACTTCCCCTTATGTTTTGCCTTTTGTATTTGAAAAACTCAGTACTACTTTCTACAAAACCTAGATCAACTTTTCCCCCCAACATAACCATATCAAAAGTTTTTATGCTAACATAGCAAACCATTTTCGGGTGATATGTATATTAGCACGGGGAAGAAGCATTGCTTTATTTTGCAGAATAGGAGTCAGCATGATCCTTATGTTATTAAAGACAAAAATGCTGCAATTTATTAAGGATTAATTAAAAAGTACTTACTTTAATAGGACAGTCAAACGTTTCAAGAAATTCTTCTCCCGAATACAATCCACACACCTGTACCTAGAGAGGTATTTTTAAAATAAAATCAAAATTACCTAGTAATAAATTTCACAAGGGAAATGATGAACATAATGTCACTTCATGACTGGAAGATAAATGCAACAGATCACACACTTTACTTTAAAAATGCAGTAAACTTAACAATTCAGAGTTATCCTAGGCTTACTTGAAATCCATTAAGGTATCTCATGAAACATTTTCAGCAGTATAAGAGTGCTTCCTGGCAATTAAGTTTTTACAAGCGCTACGAGTTCCCTATGCTCTGAGCTGAGCACTTTTGTTAAACAGATACTGATCTGGATTAGAGATGAATAACTTAATAAAACTCAGTAGAACATATATTAAAAGCTTCTCTGAGAAGGAATTGCCTTTTTTCTTCTTTTTTAAAAATTATCAGTTAAACTTCAAAGACTTTTTTTATAATACTTAGCATTTTAAAATAATTCTAGGCTATAAAGCAAAAGTAGAATGAAAACCAAGCACCATGATTTTTCATGACTTCCTCTAAAAACATATCAGCTTCTTTCCCTTACACACAGAAATCATTGTATGAAGCCCCTCCCCCACCCCTTTTCGTTACTGTGAAATAAAAGTTTGTAAATGGGGACCGGTTTGGTCACAGTAAATGTTTTCTGCGCTTTAAAGAATAGATAAGAATAAAGAATGAATGCAATAAAAGAGCAAAGACAGACACACAACAGAAGACTTATCTCAACACTAATTAAATTTAAATGGAAGGTGAGAATTGCTACTGGAAAGATGCAGATAGTCAATTTAGAATGGAATAAATGAAAGGCAAATGAAAACTTTTTTTTAAGAGTTTACAGAAGTCCCTACAAATGCTATAATCCTGGAAAGTAGTGCAGCATCAGACAGACCGACACAGCATATGTTCATGGTTGAGGGACATTTGAGGCTCGGTAGAAGCCAGACATTGTAATGAACTCTTTTCTCAACTTCCAGCAAGCATCATGTATACTCGAGAGAGACCCAATATCAAGAAAAAGGGATGTAAAGGGTGCCCAGAACTCAAATTAGAACAATAGGATGATTCTTTTAAACTTTCATTAAATTTAGACTTTAAAAAATAAAAGGTTACATAGCCTAAAAATGAAATTCCAGGTCTGTTCAAGAACCCCTCTTCTGAACCCTAGTACTTACTTATTTATACTGTGGATTATCAATTAACGAGCTCCACCCAGGTTTATTTAGCTCAAATGCTATTGTCAATGGACACAAGGGAATCAATGGTTATATATGTAATGCTATGCAGGGAAATCAGAGGGAATAGTGAAGCCACTACTAGTTTTCTTGAGAAAGGAAATTCTGTCAACAAATTACATTCTGCCTACAGTAGGACACAATTATCTAACAGGTCTTTTCCAGCTTTGTTATCTACAGTTATTACAATCCCCAATGAGTCTTTCAGTAGAAAAAAAAATAAAGCAAAGGGGGAAGGGAAGTACATAGTATCTAGAGGAAAGTCAACAGCAATAAGCCAAAGGACCTTTGGTTCAATGTCTCCACAGCAAGATTCACTGGAATACTACATTCATGGAGGACTCTACAGAGTGCCTGTAGACCAGCGGTCACCAACCAGTGGATCTCAATTCACTGGTAGATCTTGGAGCCTCTTGGAGTCAATCTGAGGCTGGGGTGGAGGGCTGAGTGCCCGCATGCATGCACGCATGTGCCCCAGCCCAGCAGGTCAGTCCGTGGGGGAGGGAAGAAGTGGGGGCTAGATCAAGGCCCCCACGGTGAGGGACAGTGCCACACAGGCAGGAGCAGGGGTAAATTAAGTGGGGCCCTGGCTGGGTGGGACTTACCTGTTGGGGAGGCATGCCCTCAAATAATTTTTTCTCCCTCTGACTCGATGCCCCCCCCCCCGACCTCCCTCAGCACAGATTCGCCTGCTGGGTTGTGGGGAGGAGTTGGGGCAGCACACAGTAGATCTTGGGTTACTTTTAAATGCCAAAGGTGATCTCCTACTTTAAAAAGTTGGAGACCACCACTGTAGACACAGTTGTGGAGTAAACTGGCCATTAGGTAATCACCGATGGCTTGAAAAGAATATAACCAGAAACAGCAGTTGACTGAGAAGCAGTCATATTTGGCTTGGCAACATGTCCAGAAGACAGTCACACTAATGCCATTTCAGCCACCTCATCTCTTCCTACTCGGCTCATTTCTTGGATATTTCCTAAATATTATTACCAATTTTGGTCATTATTCATTAGTGGATATATAGTCTATTCCATGCTTTATAGTGTGTTCCATGTACCAGCTTGGGCCAACCTACCACTCCAGAGGAATGAAAATCAATACCTGGATGCTGTGAGACACCGCATAATCAGAGCCCTGTGATGCTTTAACTGAATATATGGTTAGACGCGAATAAGAATGAACTGTCTCTAAGCCAACAAAATCTTTTGGCTGTTGGGGTTTTCTTGGAGAAAGGGAGACAAATGAAAATGGCACATCATGCAATAGAGGAAACAAAATAATCAAGAGGCAGAGGAAAGGAAGAAGTTAAAAGATACAAATCTTTTACTCACTTAGGAAATCTAACCATTTAAAACACATGCATGTACATAAGTTCTCATATTTAAAAGTGAAAAATCAAAATTAACATCAACAATAGATGAAATAACTATGGCAACTAGAATGATAATTCCCCCAGTAAAGTACTGCACTGCACGTAACAGTATAAGTTTTCAACATTTATATTTCTTTAAGAATTTGGAAGCAAAATGGATCCAGTTAACTAAAGGGAAAAAAAACAACAAAGCATAAAATGTAAGTTATCATTATGTTTACTCAGGGGACCCCATAGATCAGTTTATTACTTCTTAATGTCTTTTATCCTACAGAGAGAAAGTGATTCTTTTGAAATTACAAAGCTATATTGGATTTATCTAGTTCTATTTTCTTTCTCCATTTAGTTTATCACATTTTTTGGGTAGTCTAAAATGGAGGCCCCTACATTTTGCAAATCCTCTGTATTTGAGTTTTTGCAGTACCTCTCTTCCCAACTTTATAGCCTTATTCTGGGCCTTAATTATTACAATAAATGTTACCTTATGTTAAAGTGGGTAAAAAAGACTGGCCAGACCACCATGTCAATGCTTCCTGATTTTGCTGTTTCTTTAAGCAAATGGGTTCCAAGTTTCAGCATCTAGCAATGGAGTCTCACAGAGTATTTCGTTATTCTCTTGGTTCTCATGAAAGTCAATTGTTATTTTCTTCCCCTGACCAATTCAGAGGAAGTGTTCTCTCTCAGTCAGAAATGCTGACAGAGTGTGGGAATAATAAAGAAGGAAAATGAAATAGTAATAAATTATGCAATGTAGAGAAAGAGAAAAAGCAGTTTGCATCACTTAATTTTCTTCCAAGAAGGTGAATTGCCTTCTTCTACCTTGTGTAAACTGACTTCTGTTTGGGGGTAAAATTGCTGCGTGTTATGCAAATAACTGTCTGTTGAGCAGCCCAACAAAACCAGACCAGCTCATAGAAAATTCTCATGACACTATATCTGGTTCAAAAATCTGCATCATCTATTTTTATCCAATGTTTATTTAACAGAACCAAATTATTTCTCCTTTTTGTAACACTGGATACAGTTTATCATTCTCAACAAGTGTTGTTTACCTATAAAACAACAAGAAAGATATGGAGCTCTACAAAAACATGCTGCCAATGTCTCACTTGTGGTAAAGGATGAGTGTAAGAGTGACAGCTACAGAAACCTAGCTGAGGCCTTATTTTAATGGGTTTGCACAAAAGGGCAAATATAGTGCCCAGCTTTAAGAAAGAGAAGAAGGAAGATTCAAGGAACTACAAACCAGTCAGCCTCATCTCGGTCCCTAGAAAAATCATGGAGCAGGTCCTCAAGGAATTCATTTTTAAGCACCTGGAGGAAAAAAATGGTGATCAGGAACAGTCAGCATGGATTCACCAAGGACAAGTCATGTCTGACCAACGTGATTGCCTTCTATGTGTCACAACCCAAAGGGTGTGATTTTTGTTTTTGTGTGCTTCAGCACTGCTAAATTGTTCCCGCTAAATTACAGTTTCTTTGCACGGTGGAGTTTTCTGCTGCAAAAGAGCTCCCCGGTGCAAGGGAGAATTTCCCGCCAATTTGAAGCTTTCTTTGCAGGGAGCATTTCTTTGTTGCAGCACAGAAATGCTCGTTGCAAAGAGTTCCCGCCATTTGTATGCTAATTCGAGTCCCATTATTGGCCAGTTCTAAATTATTCACACGTGGCGGCTAGTGATTGGCTTGCTAGCCGTATAAAAGGCTTGAGTGGTTTCCGCCCAAGTTGGAGGACTCCACGAACAAGGGAGGAGGAGACTTCACGCTGTGAAGATCTCTAAGCGCTGCGGATCCTTACGGACCCAGCGCATTTCAAGCAGGCAACAGAGGTCTGATCAACCTCTAGCCTCTCCCCGTCGTCGATCGCAGCCTAGACGTATCCCTTCCTGCGCGCAAAGAACCGGACCCACGGAGCCTAGCAAACTTCGTGTGAGTCCTTGCCAGACGACCGACCTCAGAGCTCTTCTACCCGGGTTCGAGTCCTGCAGGTTTATCTTCCCGTCGCCGAAAACCCCTTGCGACGTACCCTCGTGTTTTGCATCTTCCCATCGCCGAATACCCCTTGCAACATACCCTCGTGCCCTGCAGGTTCGAGTTTTGTTTTGTTGTCCGTCTGTAACCGCAACTCAAGCAAGTTTTCCAGCCTACACCACTGCCATCTTGGTGTAAGTAAACAATCTTTTAAACTACCGCTAAGCGTTTGTGCCTAATTCCAGCTCGACGGCCTTCCCTCTCCGACCCAGCGTGCCCGGGCTGCTGGCCACAGCCCGCGTGCAGCACGGAAAAGGGCTCGGGTCGCTCCCGGCCCATACACTATGATGAAGTGACTGACTCTGTGGATGTGGGGAAAGCAGTGGACATGATATACCTTGACTTTAGCAAGGCTTTTGATACAGTCTCCCACAGC